TTGATCTGAATAGACAGTAAACACAGTGGAAGCATAAACCATAGATTCAGCCAAGCAGAAGAATATCAGGGGCTGAAGAACAATGTTGATAAAATACTGCATGAAATATCAACACGGAAAAATAGTGAGGGTGACCACAAGGTTCAAGCATTCCAGTCTATGACCGTGAGATCTAAAAGCTGGGAAGTGGTGGTGCACACCTTTAATCTCAGCACTCATGAGGCAGAGGCAGTAGGATCTCTGAGTTCGAAGCCAGCCTAGTCTACAAAGAATTCCAGGACAGCCAGGGCTTCACAGAGAGACATCTCAAAAAACAAAACAAACAAAAAACCCAAAACAAAACAAAACAAAAAAGATATCAAATCTAAGACTATGCAGCTAGGAGCTCACTCATGTACACTAAAGGCATAGAGAATTTATTCAAGGAAATTGTAACAAAATTTCTTGTGTGAGAACGTCTATTTATTTCTCTAGAAGTAGACATACACACACAATAACCCTTAGGACCCTAAATAAACATGACCAGAGTAGAACTCTCCACAACACTTTACCATCAAGACATCAAGAATACGAGGTGGTGGCGGCAATTGCCTTTAATCCCAGCACTCGGGAGACAGAGACTGGTGGATCTCTGCGAGTTTGAGGCCTGCCTGGTCTACAAGAACTAATTCCAGGCCGGGTGGTGGTGGCACACACCTTTAATCCCAGCACTCGGGAGGCAGAGGCAGCCGGATCTCTGTGAGTTTGAGACCAGCCTGGTCTACAGAGCTAGTTCCAGGACAGGCTCCAAAGCCACAGAGAAACCCTGTCTCGAAAAAAAAAAAAAAAAAAATTCCAGGACAGTTAGTGCTGTTACACAGAAAAACCCTGTCTCAAAAAACCAAAAAACAGCCGGGCGATGGTGGTGCACGCCTTTAATCCCAGCACTCGGGAGGCAGAGGCAGGCGGATCTCTGTGAGTTCGAGACCAGCCTGGTCTACAAGAGCTAGTTCCAGGACAGGCTCCAAAACCACAGAGAAACCCTGTCTCGAAAAAAACCAAAAAAAAAAAAAAAAACAAAAAAAAACAAAAGAATACAAAGCAAAGAAACAATATGAGGAAATGGGGCAGGGGGAGGGGATATATTAAATCGGCTAAAAAATATAGTAACATCAAATCTCTTATTAGTGACTCAAACCCAAGAGAAGACAAAAGATATATTTCAAGCCCTCTAAATAAATAACTGCGGTTCCAGAGTGCTACATCTAGCAACACTATTTATATTATAACTATGCAAGGGGTTGGGGTGGGGAGCAGATTGCTCAGCTTGCTGCCAAGCCTGATATTCTGGGTTCAATTCTCAGAGAACTGATTCCCACAAGCTGTCCTCTGACTTCCTCATGCACACCGTAGTGTGTGCACTAACACACACAAAGCACATGTGCCTGCAAGTAAATAAATAGTTCTTAAAAAGTCTATGAAAGAATGCATTGGTAGACGTGACCCTACATTGAAAAGTTAAATATCTGAAAACTGAAAAATTCCATAAACAAGATTAGCAAAGCAACTGAACTAGAAGAAACTAGCCATACAGGGTTTGGCTAGAGCGGCTGTGCACTAAGACCATCACAACTGTCTGTAGGACACTGCAGATAGAGCCCAACACTTCCCTCATGGTAAGAACATGCTCTACCGCTGAGCTACAGCTGACTTTATGTAAAGTGCACAAAGCTATGGAAAGTTGATCTCATGAAAGGAGGAAGCAGGGGTTGCAGCCTAGCCTGAAGACCCGAGTTCGGCCCCTATGATCCACATGGCAGAAGTGTAGCAGGCCACTACTGAACTATAGTTAGACCATCCCATCAAAAACTTCCTAAGAGCAGGGCAATGTGGTGCACACCTTTAATTCCAGCACTCGAGAGGCAGATCTCTATGAGTTCGAGGCCAACCTGGTCTACAAGAGTTAGTTCCAGGACAGGCTCTGAACCTACAGAGAAACCCTTAAAAAAATATCCTAAGAATACTGTCAGTGCTGTCTTGGGTAAACTGGTCTCTGGAACAGCCATATAAATTCCTAAGGTGAACTGGTCTCTAAACCTGCCCCAAATTCCTGAACAATATGACCCTGAGCTAAATAAGGCTCACTGCCTTACCATTTAACTGTTACCTCTCCACTTCTGTAAACAATTGCTTTCGGCAAATGTCACAACTGCATTCATTTCATAAAAATTCTCAAGAATGACCAAAGATAGAAAAGAAAGCGCAGTTGACAGGGCAGGCCCATTACAATCAAACAGAGATGGCGTAAAAAAGATGCATGCAATAGATTGGAGACTTACCTTTTACCACATGGATTCTGGCAGGTTATGGTAGGTTTTAAAATTTGTGTGTGTCCTTCTGCATTGCCGGTGGGAATGCAAGCTGGTACAAACCCTTTGAATGTCAGTGTAGTGATGTCTCAGAAAATTAGGAAACAACCTTCCTCAAGACCCAATAATACCACTTTTGAGTATATATCCAAAGGATGCCCAATCGTGCCACAAGGACATGTGCTCAACTATGTTCATAGCAGCTTTGTTTGTCATAACCAGAACCTAGAAACAACCTAAATGCCCCTCGATCAAAGAATAGATAAGAAAAATGTGGTACATTTACACAATGGAGTACTACACAGCAGAAAAAAATGACAGCTTGAATTTTGAAGGAAAATGGAAGGAGGGGGGCTGGAGAGATGGCTCAGTGGTTAAGAGCATTGCCTGCTCTTCCTAAGGTCTTGAGTTCAATTCCCAGCAACCACATGGTGGCTCACAACCATCTGTAATGGAGTCTGGTGCCCTCTTCTGGCCTGCAGACATACACAGAGACAGAATATTGTATACATAATAAATAAATATTAAAAAAAAAAAGAAAATGGAAGGAGCTAGAAAACATTATTTTGAGTGAGGTAACCCAGACACAGAAAGACAATTATCACATGTACTTACTCATAGGTGGTTTTTAAACATAAAGCAAAGAAAGCCAGCCTACAAACCACAATCTCCGAGATTTAGACAACAATGCAGACACTAAAAGAAATTTACATAGATCTAATCTACATGGGAAGTAGAAAGTAGAAAAAGACAAGATCTCCTGAGTAAATTGGGAGCATGGGGATCTTGGGAGAAGGTTGAAGGGTGGAAGAGGCAGGGAGGGGAGCAGAGAAAAATGTAGAGCTCAATAAAAAAAAATCTCTTAAAAAAAATGTGTGTGTGTGTGTGTGTGTGTTAAGCATCCTAGGTATCAAACTTGAAACAAGTCCTTGGGTGTGCTCAGCAAATACTCTCCCACTGAACTATACCTTCCAGCCCTCCAGTGAGTTATCAACTTGTTTCTTGAGACACAGTCTCACTCTGTACCTGGCCTTGAAATCACAATTCTCTCAACCTGAGTGTGGGATTCCAGGTGATAGTCAATACACCTGCATCCAGTGTTATTTTAAAGGACTGAAAATTTATGTATTTGTGTAGTAACTTAAGGAAAGGAAACAGTTTGGAAAAACATAACTGCCCTTCTGCTTTGCGAACTATAGTTCCCAAGGAAAAAAGCCACACTCTCACCGCACCTCACCTCCCTCCCAGGTTAAAACTTCTTCAAGGTCAGTTGATTCCACTGTGACAGTAGAGGCCTGGAGCCAATTATCTGAGGTTGTCCTCAGCCTCCTCGACAGCCATTCACCTCCCACTTCTATGTTTAGCCTAACATCTCTCCTTGTACCTATCCTTTCAGAATGTATAAACAGAACACTGGTTTGCCCGATCCCAAAGACCGTCATCATTGAAAATCTACAGCCAGAGGTCTCCTGTACCTGATGTTTCCATCGGTGTGTTTTAAAAATGTTTTATCACTTTTGTTACCATATAAACATCATAAAACTGTTACTATGTTTAATGTGGTTTGGGGACAGGCTGAGTCCATGTTCTTGGGCCATGGTCACTCACTCATATTTGGCTCCAGAATAAACGCTGCCCTTTGGGGAGAAACTGATTGTTATCATCCACACCTTCAGGGAGGAGGAAGGGATGACAGCTGAGTTACTTCTCACTACCCATTTTTAACAACAAAGAAACTGAAGCTCATGCCATTTTGTTAAATTAAGAACTTTTAATATAATGAATCCAAAGAACAGTTTTTAAAGACAAGTGAAATAGACTCTAACTCAAGTCACAAATAAAATGACGTTATTTATTTCCTTGGTACTTTCCCAGTGACGTCCTTCATACCGCAATCAGGAATTCAAAAGAATTCCTCCATCCTTTATGGAATATTATACTAAATATTTAAATAAATACTACCTTAAATATTAATACCTTCTAGACAAGAATTCAAAAGCTGGCTAGCCAAGAATTTCAGCAGACCAGAGCACCCCAAACTGTCAATATAGCAGTTCCATTTTCTATTCCCTAGTAATATTAGAGCCTTTTACACTCTCTAGCGTAAATTAAAAAAAAAAAAACAAAAAACCTTAAAAATACCAAATCTACCACGTATAAACACAGAAATATAAATCACTTTTCCATCCTGGAATTGTAGGAAAGCAGTTAATGAGCATGAGAGACAGAATGGAGCCGGGATGGTGGTTAGGAACGCTGTCGGGCACTGGGCACCACGCTAAGAGACAGAATGACTCTGCACAATGCCAGGCTGGAACGTTTTCCGGGGAGGACCGTTTGGAACGGAAGAGCCCAAATCGGAAAAAAGAGAGGTAAACAAAGAGAGGCCCAAGGCATCAACCCGGGAACCGAGCCACTACCGCCTGCTGAACGGGCTGTCACTCAGCCCAACGACACACACGTTCGGGGCTCATCCCCGCTATGTCGCCGTGGCATCACCCCACGGCCTCCCTCCCGGCGGAAGACACGCGCGCCTGGCGCACGTCCCCAGCTAGCGGCTGCCTCCATCTTGTCCCGGGTCTCCTCCACGCCAGCGGCGCGCTGTTATTTTTAACCTTCTAAACCTGGGGAGGGAGGGGAGAGGGGAGGGGCGCGGGTACGCCTGGAGGCAGCCGCGAGGGACCGAGGCTGGGGACGCGGGCGGCCGCCAAGGTCACCGAAGCCGGGACAAAGGACGCGTAGGAGACCGGGCCAACGAGAACAGGGCTAGGCGACTTCCGGCAGCGCGGGCCGTCCACCCCCGACTCCCGCCCTCTCCGAGGACAAAGCGGAGCGCGACGCGCGGCCCCGGCCCCGCCCTCGGCGCGCGCCCGGACACCCGGCACGGGAACGCGCACAACGGTTGGAAATGGCGGTTAAGGCGGAGGAGGGGCTGGGGGAAGCGAACTTTCTAGGCGCTCCCTGGCTCGGGTCACCCCGCCGGCTTGACAGGAGCCGGTGGCGCTTCTCCAGGCTGCCTCCTCCCTCGTTCCATTCTTGATGGACGCTTTCGGGACTGGAAAAACTGTGTCGTGGGCCGTGGAACAAAGGAGGGAGCCACGGTAGGCGTGGGCGCAGCCACAGGAACGCTCCCTAAGATGGCCGCCGCCGCGCGGGAGGGTGGGCAGGGCCCTCAGCTTCCGTCGCGGGCCGGAAGTGACGACTGGCACCCATGGCTGCCGCGCGAGAGCCCCAGGAGCCGGAGAGGAAGGTAAAACACGCCGAGGGGCACGCGGGGGTGGGTGCGCAGGAGGGCGCCCCGGTTTCCTAGCCCGGTCCCCATGACCGCGAGCGATTCCGGCAGTCTAGTCCTCAGATCCCGATGTGAGTGCCAAATTGCCAGCTGATGCAAACGCAAGAGCAGACCCGCAGGATCTTACCTAGCAATGCATTGTACTTTGGTAGCAAGGGTTAGTAGAGGGTCCATGAAAATTTCTCCGAGCTGAGCGAGGCGACACGTGTCAGTAATCTCAGCACTCAGGAGGCTGAGGCACAGACAGCCTGGGCTAGCTTGTAACATACTAGCCCTCGTGCACACAGGTAAGGTAAATTAGCTAATGCATTGAGTATTGCGTGTATTGGGCTGTAATAAAAAAGGAGACAGTCTCCGCTTATGAAGCCTACAACCTACTGGGGTAAACGGTCGAATTTCAATTAAGTCAGACCGGAGATAACTGCCTGTTTGGTGTGTGTCTGGAGTGGAGAATGTAATGCAAGCTCCTCTCAGAGCTTAGAGGGCCTTAGTAGCAATCAATGGTTAGTTCTAAGTACAACCAAGAGCCTTAATGAGGCCTAAAGTACTCATTGAATAACTTGGTAGTACAAAGGGTAAATGTGATTTGACAGATTTTTTAAAATACTTATGAGTGAATGAGACAACTAAGTACAATTTTAAGTTCCACTAACAGGAAAGCGTATAAATAGGATTTGACAGGAAAACTTGAGGCCACAAGGATGAATTCAGGCCGGTGGAATAACTGGCCTTGACTGATTTATACCCATTCAGGGGTTACTGCTCGAAACAAAGGAGAATGGGAGTATAGGTGGAAGGTATGTTAGTGATGCCATAAAAAGGGACCAGAAAAGTGGTAGTTTGATTGGGGCTGGTGATGGTCAGCTCAATCCCTAGAGCCCTTGTAAGCAGGACTGCCATAAGATATTGTCCTTGCCCCAATAAGCACCCATCCAAATAGCATCAGTACTCAAAAGAAAAAAAAAAAAGCAAAAAGCTTGGGAACACTGGTGGAGGACCTGCCAGCGTTAAGGCCAAGTGTGATCCTGTGCAATAGTTGTTCTGATCAAAAGGATGTTTCACCTGTGTATTTCACCTGTGCTGGCAATGCCTGGTGCACAGCATGCCCGGCGTGGTGCCCATGTCCCTTTGGAAACCACAGGTGCTAGGGGATAACGTGCCAAGAACTGCTGGGTCAACTCAAGCATATTTTAGATGCATTGAAAGCTTTGGAAGAATCTACTTTGATCTGTCCAAAGGGCCAACAGTTTCTCAATCAGAATAGAGAATCTAACTAACCAAGGTGGCTTGGTTTAGGATGCAGCTGCATACTTTATCTTGACTAGGTTCCCATTTTGTAGCACTGTATCCACTCCATGTCATGGATGGAAACCTAAGTGGACCCACTACCCCATCTGATTCCTCAGGGTGAGGGTGTTCAGGTTCTAAAGTTTAGGAATGCCATGACCTATTTTATGTGAGCTGCTGTATGTGAGCCCAGCCCATCAAGGTTACAACTACAAAGGCCTGGTACATTGATGAAGACACCTAAAAGTTGGGTGTGTGATACAACCAAAAAACAAGCCAGAAACAATTATCTGAGAAAGCATAATTTTACTTTAATGAGAATCAAAGTCACATTTTATCTTCAAGCAGATCCTTGAGCCAACAGTAAGAAAGACATAGGCAAGGTTCAGCTCTGCCTCCATCTTTAAGGGACCTGACTTGCCTTTTACTTTGCTGTCCTTCCCCCCACCCATTCACTTCCATTGTAGGTGCCATCTCTTACGCACCGTAGAAGACGTTCAGTTATCCAGACCTGTTTTTCTTTCCAGTGCTGGAATCCCAACACAGGTGGCTTCTTTCACACATGCTACATTACCAAGTTGCAATCTTGCTTCTGAGACTTTGACTCCTAGAGCTCAGACCAATCTCTGTTCATAGCAACCTTCTTGCTACAAGTTTCTGGATTGCTAGGATTGCAATCACAAGTTACCAGTGTCTAAGAATGTCAAAGTCTTCCCATTCCCCATGTGAGCAACAGATGTCCTTGGACAAAGTATAAAGCTATTTGTTCAAATACAAAAATGACCATATGAAGTATTTCTTCCTGCAATTACTATGTTCACCCAGTGAATTTTAAGTGGCACTATATTCAAACTGATTTGCCAAAGTGTTAAATTAGATAGGACACACTTATTATAACCAGTAAATGGTAATGTTTATAGTAGTACTTTAACTCTATTTTCTTGTTCAGTCTAGGATTTTTTTTTTCATTTTATCCTAGCCCTTTAAGCTCCTAGGAATTTTAGATGTTGAGAACATTCCATGTGCACGAGAATCTATTCTATATGGCTCACTAGGATCAGTTGTGGCTGGACTTGGACATTTCTTGGTGACCAGTGAGTATTTCTTCTAAGTATTAAACATTTCTGGGGTAAAACGTTTTTTACAAACATGATTATATTTACTTCACTTGTTTTTGACAGGCAGGATTAGGAGATCATGTGATGTTGGAGTAGGAGGATTTATCCTGGTGACTTTAGGATGCTGGTACGTTTGCTAGATATTCCAGAAAATTCAGATTTCTTGTGTCCTGGATGTCCTGGAACCAGGCTGGTCTTGAACTCTGCCCCCCACCAAACCAAGTGCTAGGTTTAAAGGTGTGGGCATGCGGCCACCACCTTCACAAACCATTGTGGGAGGGTTTTTTTGTCCTGGCTGACCCCCACTGTAGTACTAGGCTGACCCCTGCGGCATCCTCTCCTGAGTGCTACTGGGATTAAAGCCACAACACTCAGATAAGGATTTTTTTTTAAATTAAAATCTGTCCTAAGACTATGGCAATGCATTCATTGTATATTTGAACAGATGAATGGCAGAGGATTGCATTAAAACATGAAAGTGATTTAAATAGTGAGCCAAACGGAACCCAAGGGATCCCTACAGAATACACGTTCTACAACAGATACAATCATTTTAACACCTTAAATATATTTGGGAGTAGTCATTTTGAAAATCTGTGTGAAATTAAAATCCCTTGGGTCATATAGAAACTAGTAATTTTTTTCATATTTTCTCTAAGGTTCCATTGTAGGTATAATTTTGCTAAGCAGAGAATCCAGGAGAGAATCGCCAGAGAAGGAATTAAAAATAAGATTTTATATGAAAGCACCCACCTTGATCCTGAAAGAAAACTCAAGAGCAGTAGCAACAGCTGAGCAACCCTGAGCATAAAGAACCCAAAGTGAACTACTTACTCCTCTGGAACACCACAAATGTATATACTGTGTACAATAAAAAAACTCAAAATTGTGTGTGAATTGTATGTATTGTGTCATTTGCATGAAACGTTTCTGGTCTTGGAAGCCAGTACCGTAGTATGCTTGTTATACACTGCACAATTCTCATTCAAAAAACACAGGAGTGTAAAACCTTCCTATGTGTTGTATGCACTAAACCAGACTGAAGGAAAAACTGCACTTCAACAAGGATATCCATTACCGGTCCTACTGCTGTCAGGATGACCCAAAGGACAATATCTGAAATTATTCTGTTCTCTATCCTTCAACAAAAAACTGTTTTCCTTTTGATCACCATGAAGGGTGGGGTGCAGACTTGATGATGGTTTTTACACACACATATATTATTTTAAGTTTTCAGCCGGTAACCACCTCAGGACTTAGCCATTGATATAAGGGAATTTCCAGTATTTGTCAATGGTGAAATGGCCAACCTATTAGTTTAACAAGCTGTGCAGTGAGTGTTCTTAAGCTCTCAGATTGAACCTAACAGGGTTGTTGATTTAAGTTCTAGCTTTATCATACTGCAGTTAATATCTTACCGTGAAAGAGAAACCTTTCTTGGCCAGTAACATTTCCAGTATCTTCACTACTTACAAAGTTCAGTTTCACAGCAGCACAACTGAATAAAAAGAGTCACAAAGCATTTAAGTTTTCTTGGCTTCCCTGGAATGTTTTCTATTATTTCTGCAAGCACTATGTTTTTAGTCTTGTACTCATCTCACTGCAAGCATCCCAATGCTGGTATTACAGGTATAATTACTACGGACCAGCTTAATTCAACCCACTGTCATCCCAACCCAAATGACACCAAACCTCTTGCACACCAGAATCGCCAAGCTTGCCAGAAACCTTTGCTAACCTTCTATTTTCCTCAGAAACAGGGTGTGCCTTTAGTAGATAATTTTGCATCAAGCCACACCACATGTAGGTTCCCAAAAGGTCAGGCTTAATTTTGAGTTACAGTGCTATGTATTTACTAGGTAGGGTCTAAGATACCATGTCCACCCCAAACCCAAAATTATATTGCAGATTTTAAGCTCAACCTACCTTCAACGCCCTCTTGCGCACATTGCTTCCTTCATGGTTCCGATAATCCCAAATTTCATACTAGGTGATAAGGCAGTAGGTACCAGCTAAATAGCTGATTAAAATAGAATTGTAGTGTTAGTGGTGTTGAAGTTTCTTTTGGTAGTTTTATCTAACATCCTAGGCTGTATTCCTTTCCCTCCTCCCTCAGCCCCTCCCTCTTTAATTCCTTGCTTCTCCATCTCAGTAAAAGGACCTCAGGGAAATTTAATAAACAGCTTTTTCTGGACTTGTGACTTGTTGACTGAATTTGGCAACAATAAATCTCAACTATGCTAAAACCAGTATTTGATTTGCAAGCATCTTTTTAGTCTACGTACCTCTAACTCCATCGATGGTTTCCCTTTGCTTCGATTATATAATGCGGAGGTCTATATAATAAATTCAGGATTCCTGTTTATGCACTTTTCAGCAAAGAGCTAAGGATCAAATAGGGTTTGAATCCTTCTATTCCTAGATAAAAATCTGTGACAGGTGTCAAAGCACCCCTTTACAAGTCATGTTAATATACACTATTCTTTGGGTACGCAGACCTTAGTAAGTAGGAAAATTAAACAATTTCTATAATTCTGACTTATAACGGTCCTCTAGAATCAATTTTGAAGCAGCTTAATGGTCTAGTATTTATCAGATTTATATAATAGCCAGTATCCATTACTACCACCCAAATACTGGTATTTTTATACATAAGTCCAACTTTAAATATTTTCAACTTTTTGAGAAAGCAAAGCTGATGCAACAAGAAAAAAATTAGAGAAACTTTTCAATGTGTTACAGTTTACAGTTAAGTGTAAGCACTACTAGATTAAGTTCCATAATCCTGTCATGGCTGCCCAATTACTGGATAAGCACATGTGGCTGAAATTATTTGAGTGTTTTTCAACTGTATTTACTACATCCAGTTTCAAATGAAGATATTGACAAAAATGTTAAGACTAACACCTGGCTAGACAAATATTTCTAATGTTCACTTTTAGTGTAGAACAAGGGAACTCAAGTACTTGAATCTCTAAACCACCTGTTTATGGACAGCACTGGAAAACCAATCTGCATGCACTATGTTTGAGTAAATGCTTCTATACCACGATATGAAAATCTGCATTGCCAGACAAACTTAAAGCCTACTTAAGTTTTTCTGCACCTTTCCCCCCTAACAGTAGTCAAAACCCTTGGCTGCCTATTCACTGAAAGTTAAGTTGCCCTTTTAAGGGTACAGCTATTTTCACTATATAAACCCACAGAGCTGAAACATCTAGGTGACATTGTGTTATTATAGTAAATGCCCCAGGGATGGCACAAAGTTCACACCACACTTTCCCATTAACTTTTAGCATCTTCTAGGTTTCAGCTTATTTCTCATCTAATCTTGGACTTCAATGTATCACCTCATTACTCCAAAAAGCCCACACAGCCTATTTCCCAAATTTTCTAAGGCTGTTATTAGTGTCAGAGCAGAAGAAAAAAAATTGGTAATCTAGGTCAGAAAATAACCTAAAGGTCGCTGTTTGGCAATAAATAGGCCTGAGGGTTATAAATGTCTTAAAACTTGGGTCGAGTCTTTCTAAAGATATATTCCTGCAAACCTAGAAATAGTTGTCAATTGCCAAACACTTCACTTCTGAAAAAGGCAAAATCAGGAAAGCTTAGAAATTGTCCCGTCCTTGGTTGCAATAGCTTTGTGTAAGGTGATCCTGAAAACCTAGCATAACTGGTTAATATACAAGCAGCAATTAATTTGAATACCTATTAGAATCACTGGAACACATTTAGTTGGGCCCCTTTTACTCTTCAACACAGCACAGTCACATGGACAGACTAAGAAAAAGGAGATGAAATTTAAATCAACACATTGCTTTTATTACTAAGCTACAAGAAAATGAAGTATGCTGGAACTCTGTTCTTGTCACTTGTCCATGATCCCTCCCCATCTCAACTGGCTAGATACTTAGTTGACAAACCATTATTTTTATCTAGATATGCTTTTAATAATTTGAATTCACACCAAATTTTGGTCTGTGACTTCAACTTTTGGTCAGTAACTTTTAGGTGTCCTCCAAGTGTAAGATTTCCTTCTAGTGGGTAAACGATTTTCTAGTTTCACCCAATGGGATGGTTTAAGGAAAGCAGGTGAACAATTCAGTGTTGTTAGCTCACTCAAACCCAAGCAAACTCCAGAAATTAACTTATACAAGTTGAACATGGCACTGTCACTGCCACACAAGGTGTTCAATTGTCCAAAAGAAATGCTTACAACCTTCCTAGAGGATGGCTGTTCAGAATAAACAGTATCCTAAACTGTCATTAATGACTCAGAATACAGTAATCTCCCTATATGGAGGGCTCAGTTGTGTTCAAATAAACCTTCCCCCATCGACTTCCTTCTCTTGCTAATTTTGGCATACAGACATTTCTCAAGGTTGTATTGATAGGTGACTAGTTAAAAAAGTTACCAGCCCATCACTTTTCTTCAACACCCGTTAGTCCACTGGCATAAAGTTTGTAATTATAAATTTAAGATAGTTTATTTTCTAAATACTTTTACTCAAAGGGGAAAGATCATTCCTAGCCAAGTTCTTACTTTGAACCCACTGTTTGGCATGAGACTGACCCTTGTTTAACAATGAAACTAGCATACAGAGTGTACTTGGAAGACCTCTGGCTTTAACCACTATTCTACACCAATATTCAAAGGGTGCATACTCCTTCAATCAGCACTATAAAAATCACTTCCCAGGGCTTGGAGGGAAAACGGTTAATGATAAGGATATTAATGAACGAGAGACAAAGGCCAGTCCAACATGAGTTAGCCAAACTTCTTTGAATACTTGTCTCTTACAAGCATGTACCCAAACCAAATAAAAACAAAAATAAAATCTAGGGACTAAAAACTCTAAAGCACTAACTGGCTATGCTCTCCAGGGAGAGCTATTAAGTGTTTTAGATAACAAGACATGAAGGTAATTATTCCAAGATTTGTGATTTATTCTAAGTCCTTTCAAGAAACCTTTGCCTAACTATGCCCTAGGTATCAATAACTACATCTTGGCTCAACTATTTCAAGTTACAATTTAGCAGCTTTCAAATGTTACTTCTAATACCCAACTCCAAGAATGTTTAATACAGAAAACATTCAAATCTCATGAATTTTACCCATTAACATTGTTCTTATCTTTCTGGGGGAAACTGAATGAATACTGGAGTGCAATCTGCTATAAATTCTGTTCGTTTTAATAAAATATTACATTCATATAAAAAATTAGGACTTTAAAGCTTATTCTACATTAAAAAAATATTCACACTGATGTACATACAACTAGACTTTTACACCAACTGTATACTACCTAAGAAGGTATTAAAGTATTTTTGTGCAGGAGAGTCTATTAGACTTGTAGTTTACATTAATGAGCTAGCGTCTAAAAAAAGTCAATTTCCATTAACAGGAAATCATTAAATACCAAACATGATCTAACCAAATTAAAAAATACTGATTTTTTTCTGTAATAAATCTAAAATTTGTTTTTACACTAAAGAGGTATAAGCCTTCTTAGTCAAGGCCCTCACTATGTACTGCAGTCCTGAGACTATGCCAGTTTGTTCTTATATACTTTTACACTTCTTTGTTATTAATCTACATGATTTTCCTAAGTACCAGTTGACAAATCCCATTGCCTTTAAGTATTGCTAAGCAAATTCTCTGCCACTGATGTACAAAGGCCGTTTCCCCAGCTTTTGCTCAGCAGGCATTGGATTTAACTTTCTTCAAAGAGTACTTTGTTACTGGGGGAAGGGAAGACCTTTAAAGGGTCCTCACTTTGAAATATGTAGCCCATGCTTGAAGTTCTTCTGCCCCTCTGTAGATGAGTCTGTGATACCATGCTGCTCAGCTTGATCGAAAGCATGTCCGAACAAAAAAAAATAAAATCTGTTTTCTTCTAATCAACACTTATTTCAAACTAATATTTCAATTTTGCTCACCACTGGGCTTAAGTCAATTTTTTCCTTCAGATCTGCTTTTGAATGCATTTGCTTTTATTAAATCAAAGAGAATTTAAGCACAGATGCAATTATTAGTGTAGCTCACTCCCTTTGAATTTTTCCCTATTTTTTGTGCCATATACACATCATGTCCTACTTCATCAGTTGACCCTTGTTCTCCTGTTCCTGGAGTCTGTAGGTCTACACAACACTTGAATGGCACAAACTAAAATACTGGGATCAATACTGATTGAATTAAAAGTTTGAATTGTTCCCCAGGTTAGGAATATAGTCCTAATAATTTATCTATCTAAACAGCAGTTACTCACATAAGGGATTACTAGCAGTAAGTTTATTTACTGCTGAAACCAAATGCCAAGCAAGACCTTTTAGTGTCAATTATTTCTATGGCCACCTGTTTCATCTAACTAGCTTGTAGCAACTTACAGGAGCAAAGTATAACAAAACTCACATAAAAAAAAAACATGATTTAAAATACCTAAACAAAATCCTACAGCAACCAATACAGGAAACCTGAACTTACCAGAAGCGGGCTAAAAACACTCGCATGCTAGACTAAATTCTAATTTTAGTTCTACAGTTTGACTCCTGATTCCTCACTTCATAGTGAGGCTCCTTTAGAAGATTTAAGTGTTCTGTGCAAACCCAATAAAATTACAATTTGGGGATCTAATGTTATCACATAGCTAGTTAAGTTAGCAGCATTGTGTAGTAGTGAAATCAATGACTGGCTTGCATGATGGCTTCTAAAAGCATCTGTTCCCAACGTTTCATGTATCATATATGTATATAATCAGGTGAGGACAGCCATTTGCATTTTGTAAACATGATCAACTGAGCATTAACTTCTCCCAGCCAGTACCTTTGCCCCTCATAAATGTTATAAGTCGTCTTGCGGGGAGGGGAAGAATTCAGCTTTATATTGTAAATCGTCAGTGTACATTTAAGTTTTTAAAACCTAAATGTTCCAAAGTACAAAGTAAAAGAATAAGCTGTCCAGAGAGCACACACTTAATTTCTCCTCTTGGGAGTTGTAGTATAAAGGGATTTTGAACCTTGATGGCGAGAATCCCAAACAAGAGTAAAATGAATTCTTTTATTGCAAACAAACGTCTAAATTAATTTCTCCACCCACTTTCTTTAGAAAGAAAAAGAAATCAGCAGGCTAAGGAGATACCCATTCGAGA